GATCAATGAACAAGAATGCTATAAGACGATGTAAACAAGCAGAAATATAATTTAAACAGTAAAAAAGATAACATTAATTATCATCTATTGATTACTCAGTTGAAATTACATAAAATTGATATTACACTTCTCGCATTACTAATCAACTAACATTGTCATCAATAAAATAAACAAATAAATGTTGAACATTTTAATCTCATCTAATTATATTGAAGTAACTGCTAATTTCAATAGACAAATTTTTTGTTAAAAAAAGAAAAAAAAAATAAATTTAAAAAAAAAAAAACTTCATGAAATAACGAGAAACCTTTCACATTCTCATTTTTCTTACATTTTTAAACTTCGTGAAGTGAACAACAGCAGCTATAATTCAGTCATTACGTTTTGGCTTCTTTTCTTTTATTCTTTTTTTTTTTATTTCAAAAATTAACTTTTTTACATGACAAGAAAAGATAAGAAGGTTATTAGAGAAATAAGAGATTACTTTATTGAAATAGATAAAAAATATTTCAAAAGTTGCGAGACAGGAAGAGAGAGAGAAAAAAAAACAAAAGAAAGAAAATATGAACAAAAAGGTTTTTTCATATTGATGGTTGGATAGATTAAAATGGATTGGATGCTATTCATTTGAAAGCAATTTTACCAAATTGTTAGGACTGCATAAGTTAGTTAAAATCAAAAGTCAAAAAAAAAAGAAAAAAGAAAGGTGTAATCAATGATATGACAGTTTGATGAAATGAGGAAACGTAAAAAAATTTTAGGAGCTTCTTTCAACTGCTAATTATTAAAAAAAATTGGATTTTGAAATATACTTTCTTTCCTTGGATTTTGAAATATACTTTCCTTCTAGAATCTTTTAAAGAGATCACTGCAGTAATTTTAGAAATAAAGGAGAAGAAAAGATTTACTTTTATGAAATATAGTTTTTCTTTAAATAGTAAATATAATGAGTAATTGAAAAAAATATAATGAGAAAAAAAAAAGTTGCTTGTTTTTTATTGCCAAAATTTATTTTTATGAATAAATTTTGGTAGTAAAATATGATAATTTACTTTGTTTCATAGCATTGCTATCAAATTGTCTTAAATATTAATGCATTAGTAAACTGTTCCTTTATTTAAAAAAAAAAAAAATGTACAGTGCAAAATACCCTAAACTTACAATAACCTAAGACTTTTTTTTGAGAACTAATCATTGATGCAAGCATTTAAAATTAATAGATAACAAAACTGATAAAATAAAATTTCACTACGAAGATTATGCGATAATTTATAAATAATAACAGTGCATGATATGAAATCAAGATTCAAACTTCACCTTGTGCAAATCAAAATCAACGTCAATTTCTTAAAAATCCAAATTTTCAAAATTTGTTAATATTTATCTTTCTGATATAAATCTTATGAACAAAGTCCAAATGAACGTAAAATTAATTAAAAATTAAAACATTTGAAAACAAAAAGAAAAACATGAGTGCTTTAATCTAACAAGTTAGGATATAAAATTAAGTTGCAAATTCCTCATTCTATGTTCACATTCTATAAATATAAATATAAACAAGATTTATGGAAGCTATAAACAAATAAATGATTTGTGAGTTATTTAATATCCCAAAAATTTAAAAAAGCAATATCCAAAAAATTAAACGAAACAAAAAATGCACTGTTACAATACTTTTAAAACTTGAAAAAAAAAGAGTTTGAAAAGCACACATATACATATATTAATAAAAAAAATGGAAAAAAGTAAAGTAAGAGAAAAATCACTTTTTTTCNAAAAAAAAAAAAAAAAAAAGTAACTTACAATAACTAGTTTGTACGTGATCACCATCGGTAACTTTACTACTGGATATGGTACGTTTCTTGGACAATACAACAGATGCTGAAACGGTTGTATCGAAATTAACTTCATAATTATGATCATTACAGTTAACCGATGATGATGATGTTGGTGATGTTTCATCATTAATACTAATAATTTTAGTGGTATTCTTATCAATATCAGTACTATCTGGTGATTTATACCCAACTATAACAGTTGTTGTATTATCATTTGTATCTGTATTTGTTAATGCTTCTTTTACCATTGCATTTGTACCATATAGACGAAATGTTACATTATTATCATCTTCGTCTTCCTGTACTGTACTATCCAATTTATATAGCATCGACATTTTTGCTATTTGATGATGATGATGATGATGATGATGATGATGATTTAATTACTTGTTAGATGGTGACTGTATGAATGGGTTAATAGTTGCAGCAACGGTAGAAGTGAAAGCGGATACAATAAGGACAGCAGTACTATCAACAACTTCTGTGAGTATTAGTAGTTGTAGTGATAACGGTGATAGTAGCAGTAGCAGTAGTAGTGGTAGTAGTAGTAGTAGTAGTAGTAGTGTAGTAATAGTAATAGTAAGAGTTGCAACAACAATTTATCTACAACGAAAGTACTAGTTGCAAAAGGAGGACATAAGTAATGTTAGCTCGTCAACATTTATGGTTGTAGTAGGAAAGAGGAAATAGTAGATGGATGGGTGGATGGAGGGGAAAGGAGTGGGGGGAGGGACGGGAGGGAGGAGGGGAGGAGTGTTCATTTGGGGTTGGACGAGCAGAGCATCAAGTAGGACTGCCTTGCAAATAACACTCCCAACCATTTTGTTCATTCCTACTCCTCCTTTCGTCCTCCTCTTCCTCCATCAACCATTGTTTGGTGTGTATGTATGTGTACGTGTATTTATCTATGTATGTGTATATGTATGTGTTGCAGTACTGCTGATGGCAAGTCATCAGACAGCAACAGTAAACGGCAACAGCAGCAGCCGGAGCAACACGGCACACAGTAATACATTTTGCGTGTTGTGTGTCGGTTGCCCGATGGGGTGATAGTCCAATGTGTCGGGTTTTTCGTGCAGTCGACTAAATATCATCATCATCATCATTTCCCTGAATTTCTACAACAGGAGCAGCAAGTAGGATAGTTTTTAGGTATTAGTTATACTAATGGTAATAGTGAATTAAGAATATTAGTAGTATCAGTATTAATGATAATTATTGTAATTATGATAGTGATAACAGTAATAGAAAGGTACAATTTCATCATCTCTAGAAAATGCAAGAGGGAAATATGATGAGGAATTTATTACTGTTCGAATAGTACAATTAAAATGTTTTGATTTCGTATAGTTGCTATCGCCAAAAGACGACAAGGAACATTTAGCAATCGATCAGATCGTTTGAACAACACTAGTTTTCGTCCTCTCACTGCTGTGTTGTTGCTGTCTGTATGCTGGATGAATTATCTTCCTTTATCATCGGATGATTTCACTTGCTAGCGACAATTCGCGTTATCTAATATATTTCGGATTTCGACTATTTCCGTTCCCTTGGATAGTCGTGCAATTTTATAGGAATCAATTTTTGCTGAATTATTATCCCGGAAAGACGTCAAACAATATCAGGATATATATTAACAAAGAAAGAGAGAGGAAAAGAGAAATTGGTGAGGGCAGTAGGCCTTCACCGTGATCTACAGAATGCTATTATATTGAGTCTGAGATCATTGTGAAAGCTATTTGCCTTCTACCATCCCCAAACATTCATGCATAGCTTGCAAGCTTTAAAATCTCGGTTTGCCATAATTTCCTACTTTCGTTTTATTTGGTGAAATCCCATATACTCTAATTTTTTCTGATAGATTTAGTTTTATGAATATTTCAATTATTTCGGATGGTTTGGACTTTAATGGGTAACAGGATTGAAATTCTGTCAATTTTGATGTGATTTATGTATGGGTGGATTATGACGTATGAGCATTTTAAAATGGTATGAAATTCAAAATATTTTGTTAAAAATTTAAAGGAAAGAGACATAAATGGTGGACATAGTGGCCGGACGTATTAATCGTGTGTTGGAAACATTGGAATCCTTCAGAAGCCAATGGACACCAGCTGTAGCACGACAGATTGACCTAGTGCATCGTGTCTATAACGAATTATTGATTGACGATGATCCAGAAGCGGAATTATCGGTAACGGCAGAAGTAGTACTTGCACAGGCTATGGAAAAACTGAGCGACATGCTGCAAGAGGTATAGAAATGGTGGACATGATTTTTTTCTTTGTTTTTTTTTTCATTGGCAGTTTATGGATACATTTTCAGATGTGGGAAAATCTATATTACTACAAGCACATAAAAGAACTTTTTTCGAGAGTTTCTTTTGAATTTATAAAAATCCTACGAGATTCGCAAATTTCCGCAAGTAAATTCCTTTGATAAATTATCTGCAATAAAGTTCCTTTTTATTTGAGATGGCGCACCAACACCGGAGTACCCACCAAATGTTATCGAAAATAGGCAGAGCTATCGACAGATATTTCGTCACCGATCTTAGTACTTTAACGAAAATTGATAAGAATATTGATACAGATCCAAGACTACATGGCAGAGTGAACGCTCTCATTACCAATCATTTGACGAGTACTGGGAAATTCGATGTTGCGGATATTCTAACGAAAGTAATCCATTTCAATAGTCATTCATTATTGAAGGGAGCTAAATCAGGAGAGAGAGAACATAGAGTTGGGAATGTTTTAGGAAGCACAATTACCAGCATCGGAAGGTTTGGAATTCAATGTGGATGATATCCGGCATCTAATGGAAGCATTCCAGAAAAGAGACATTAATCCCGCGCTTCAGTGGCTTAAACAAAATGCTTCTCGAGATGAACAATTGATTTATGATCTTCAGAAACAACATTTCATCAAACTTTTGGAAGATGGTACGATGCATTTACAGTTTTGAAATGGGGAGCAAATAACCGTAGTTGGAGAAACTATTCACGTTTTTAGGGGAGACTATGGAGGCTTTGCAATACAGTCGCAATCTTTCGAAAAATCCGGAGGAGTTGATGCAGTTACTGTGGGCAGCTGTCGCTAAAGATCGTAAGACACGTTATCCCGATCTTTTCAACCCTGTTGTTTGGCAGCAACTTGAATTACGACTCGCTCGAGTTATGTCGCGATCAGAAAATTATCTTAGTCAGATGTATGTAAATCTTTTATATTTTCAGTTTATCGACGTCATCTTATAGAAATATTAAGTGTAGGACCTGTCAGAATCATTGATATTCTTCGAACTCGGATGTTAAATTTTAGCAGTGATCATACCCTACTACGACATGTTGAGAGAAAATTATTCCTAAAGCATGATTTTTTTGTCTTGATTCTTCAAAGCTTATTTGTTTTTCATCACAACGCAAGCATGTGAGGAAATGAGCAAACTTTGGCTTTTTATTTATAGATGGTTGGATTTATTCATTTGTTTTTGAAACTCAAGAGATTCTAGCAAATTGGATGATGTTTTTATGTTTACTTCAGTCTTGAGCTCGGCATTAAAATGGTACCATCACTCATTAGTCTTCGTCAGCTAATGGTAAATCGATCATTGGAATCGCTATTTCAAGGTGATGAACTGCCAATTGAAGTAGATGTGCCGAATGCCACACATTCTGTGTTCGCTTGCCCAATTCTTAAGGTTTTTTTTATTTAATAGAAAAAATATTATATCCCTTAAATTGTAAGATTACTTTGTAACTTTGAGCTTGGGATTTCCTGAATATTTCGACAGTTAATTCAGTTTATATCTTTATTGTTTGTACATACAGGCACAGTGTACGGAGCAAAATCCGCCAATGCGTCTCACATGTGGTCATGTAATTTCCCGAGAAGCACTTCATAAATTAGCCCAAACAGGACGTTTTGTTGCACCGACCAATTTGTCTCCATCTAATGCTTTCAGTCATATTCGTTTGAAGTGTCCGTACTGTCCGGTGGAATCATCAGTAGCTGATGCGAAACGAGTATATTTCTGATATCTTTTCCGCCAAATATATGTCATTTGTTATACGTACGTGTATTGATTGTTTACAATTACTGACTAATTTTTGATGGCATTCATTACACAATTGATCGTTTCAAGGTGAATATTGGTATGAGATTACCACCATCACTTCTTTGTCGTCATCCTAATGCACCTTGTACGAAGATTATCAATGTTGATAAAGTTTTTCCGGGTAGGTAGTATAGCTGAAGTTAATGATACTATTGCTAAACTATTTAAAATGTCCTTGCATGTACAACTTGTACGCCGTAATGTCCTTCGTCTTCCTGACCTGTGTTTAGAATTTTCCTCCTCGCTTGTCTCTCTCGGTGGTTGCTGTATTCCGTGTACAACAAATTTTCTATATTATAAACACGATTTATCTCATGCCAATTGTCAACCTTGAGATTGTTAACAAGTTTTGATTTGTATATCACTTTCCTGGATTCCTATTCCGGACCGTGGATGGGGTTGTATATTCCGGAGTACTTCATTCGTATTAGTGCACTCTTCATGAAATTTTCATCAAAAGATTTGCCATGAAATTTTCATCAAAAGGTTTGCGCATTTCGAAAGGTTGAATTTAGGTCTTGAAGAAATTCCAACCCTAATTCGCTCCTAATGCCGAAATATGCTACGTTGAGCGGATAACAACTACACATTTGTATGTATCGATCGAGTTGTTCGCTTGTATATAATGCAATAGTGATGATCCCATCAGAAATTGTATAGATACTCCAGTTTCGCGCATATCGTTTTTCAACGCTTTTCCAATGATTGATATATGTGTACGCTGCACTTCGAGAATGTTTCTTTTGTTTTTGAAGTTCTAAGCTGTAATGTGGTTTTTTGCTTTTTCATTCAATTCAAGATACTTTGAGCAGAAATCTGCCAACGAATGAAAATATGAACCTGGTCAATCCTAATGTTGCACAAGGAAACGATAAATTTACATGGGACAATTTACATGTACACCTGTACTTGAAAGTACCGAAGCAATTTTATGGCCTAATTATTGCACTTAGACGTCTGCTTAGCACGATTTGGGTTTGGGTGTTTGTAAAATACGTCCCAGAAATGCTAAAATCCCATTCCCTACTGCAGGGGATGCGGAACATCATATTCCCGCGACTCGAGGGGATTTCATTTTTGATTTTGCGAAGTCACTATTTGGCTGATGATGGTTTATGAATGATATCCTTGCTTGCCATCCTGAATGAAGTTGCTGCATTTCTGCAAACTCAGATGGGATGATATAAAACGGTATTAATTCATTTCCAGCGTTGGCAATACTAGATCATCAATATTCGTGTCGCTTCAAAATCAGTTGGTTTCTCGAGAAAATTTTACTTTTCCCCTCAATGGGAATAATGCCTTCTGTATCAAAGGGTAATTGATAAGTTATGACGCATTTCCCGAAGTTTGAGCAGAAATTGCAGTAAGGAAAAGGATCAAAAATGGAAAACTGTAAAAATACTGAGCTAGAGAACATCAATTAAAAAAAATTTATAAAATCCATAAAGAAAAATCCTAATCCAGGAAAAAAAAAGTTAAAGCATTCTTCAACGTAGCAACATGACAAATTATGCAAAGTAGCAAACGAAAAAAGATTCAAAAAAAGAAAACAGTGTTTTAAAGAAACGACAAATTTGGGAGAGATAATAGACAGTATGTATGTTACTGATAATATCAAACATCATCATTTCATACAAATCAATGAAAAAAAACAGAATGAAAGAAAACCGTATGTAAGAAGAGATACCATAAAACGTTAACAAAATCGAAACGAAACATAAAAAAAATTCATTGGTTTTTCCAAGCGTATAATGCGCTGCTAAAGCTTTAGGCGGTAACCAATATCGGTAATCGTAATAAAATTGCCATGAACAACAATAAAAATGGTGGTAGAAGAGTTGGTTCATTCGACATCAA